GATAGATATATCATAATTTTTAGTATTTTACGGTAGTTTTCCTTTTTTGTTTTTTACAACTTCAGTATTGAACATCCCTGTAGCAAATTTTCTATAGTCTTTTGTAACATTTCCTAAGCACAAATTTTCTGCATGAGAATGGGGTGAGAGATTTTGTATAATTTTAATGGTATCCTTAGTTCCCTTCCTGTCCATCAATTCAGTCAGCCTAAGGTCCTGTGAGATTAGGTCACTACTTACAGATAAAGAACACCAATGTTTAAAATAGTATCATTCTTTTTACTGTTCAGGCGAAGGTGACAGAGGAGCTAGCAGCATCTACTGCACAGGTCTCTCACCTGCAGCTGAAAGTGACAGCTCAGCAGAAGAAGGAAACAGAGCTGCAGATGCAGCTTACAGAAAGCCTGGAGAAAACAGATCTTCTCAGAGGCCAGCTCGTCAAGCTGCAGACAGAGCTCTCAGGTATGTGCACAGTGGGGAAGCTGGCGTCATTTCGTTTAAACTTAAGGCATTTAACTCTCCCTCCTCTCAGCCCTTTTGACATAATGCTCCTAAAGTGTATGAAGGACTGAACCAGCAGTCAAGGTGGACTAACGGAAAGCCTGTATGATTATTTTACATAAAGGAAAACAAAAAGATTGAATGTATTCATTTAGAGTTGGTCAGTTGCCACCTTTTCCCTCCTCTTGAAGAAGTCTTATATGAACATTGTTGATACTTATGACTGGTCCCATATATTTGCAAGAGTTTGTATTTATATGTTCGTCTCACTCTTGATTCAGTGGATGTTTGAGGAAGAGATGCTTCCTGTCGTAGTTTCCTCATTCCTAGAAAATGGGTTGCAACTCTTTAGTCACACTCTGCCTAGCTCATCTCCCATTACATTGCCTAGTTCATCCCAGCTGTACTGTAATCCTACCTGGCTACACTTCTGCTCATCCTGTCTTGCTTTTTTATGTGTAATCTTCTCTGGGCTTGCTGTGCAAAGCAGTATTTGCCTCCAGTCCTCTCTCTATTCTGTTCCTTCCAGAAGATTTCTTAGTTTTTCCTGGAGTATTTGATCCCTCTTTTACAGTATTTTTTTGCTTAATGAATTACTATGACCATTGTCACAGATAACCTTTGATAAGCACCATTTATGTGTCTGTTCTCCCCTCCAGAATTCAAGATCCTAGAGGACAAAGGTGGTGTTTTTTTTGTTTTGTTTTGTTTTTTTGGCAGAACCGAGGATTGAACTCTGGCCCTTGTGCTTGCCAGGGAAGCGCTTATTCCACTAAGCCATCTCCCCGGCCCTGCAAAGGTGGTGTTTTACTCAGCTGCCTGAAGTCCTTTCCTCCACGGTTGCTAGTTATGTGCCCATTGCAGAAGTGGTTCTGGGGCTGGGAATATAGCTAAGTGACACAGTGCTTGTTGTGAGTTGGAGTCCTAGTACCATAAAAAGAAAGAAAAGGAAAGAAGGAAGGAACGAAGGAAGGAGAAAACAGTGGTGCTAAAGATAATATGATTACTGGGCGTGGAGGCACATTGCCTATAATTTCCACGCTCAGGAGGCTGAGGAAGGAGGATCATTGAGAGGTTGAGGCCAGCCTGGGCTACATAGGGAGTTCCAGAACAGCCTGAATTGCCTAGTAAGACTGTGTCAAAAACAGGAAAGGGTGATTGAATAGATTTGGGAAGACTAGCATACCGATTCATCTACTTTCCAATATTGCTACATTGAACCCAATGCAAAGGCACAGGTGGGACCAGAGCGATAACAGAGCTAAATGGAAGCACAGGTTTCTGCTTGAGAGAACCAAGCCACTGATATCATTTAGTGAAATGGTACTTTGAAGATGCATCTCTTATGAGGCAAATATGTATTGGATATCGTACAGCTATCTCCTTTCAGCTTTTATGGTGCCATAAGTTACCTCTTGAGCCATAAGAGTCTTCAACTCTTCAAAGTTCGGTGCACTAAACTTAAAATTCCCCAAAAGTCCTCTTTGAGAAGGAATGTTTTGAAAGCAAATTCCTGGCAAAATGTCCTGGCTACCAAAAAAATTGAGCATATGTATTTCATTGCCAGTGAGAGAGGACCAGAACCGATACTAAGCCAAAACCTCTTTGGTGTGGTCAGATGGTAATGCAAATGGAATTGCAAAGAGTGATGAGTTTAAGATAGGGAGATAGCTCAGTGTTATAAGTGCTTGCTTGGCAAGCTCAAGGTCCTGAGTTCGATCCCTGGTACCACAAAAAAAAAAAAAAGGCGGGAGGCAGCCAGATAGCTTAGCCTGCTTGGGCAGTCTCAGGGATGGGGTTCAATCCCTGGTGTGCCATGCCAGCCCTGCCCCCAGGGTGTGGTGGCGCACTCCTGTACTCTCAGCACTTGGGAGGATGAATGCACTCTTGATTTTTTTTTTTTTTTCTTTTGCGGAACCGGAGATTGAACTCAGGCCCTTTCGCTTGCTAGGGAAGCGCTTATTCCACTGAGCCATCTCCCCGGCCTGCTTTAACAAATTTTTAACATGCTTTTATATTTGCTTAGTGACATCCTGTATTATAAAAAAGGAGTGATGAATTTATTCTTGTTTTATTTATTTTTTTGGTGGTATCAGGGATCAAACTCAGGACCTTGTGCTTGCTGAGCAAGCATTTCTTCTACTGAACTATCTCCCTGGCTCCCAGAGTGATGAGTTAAAAAAAAAGTCATCAGTTTTGAAGGTGATCTCTGACCCCTTGAAATGTTTCTTTTCATTTTGCATGTGTAGAAGGTGATTCATATGTTAGAGATGGCTCTCTGTGTGGTAAATAAGGGTTTGTGGGAGAGCAGCTTAGTGCTTATTAGAAAATGTTGCAGGCCAGGGAGGGGATGGCTGAAGGAAGTAAAGGCCAGATGCTTGTGTGGTAGGGTGGGCGGTCTGAGGCCTGCTGTTTTGGAAGAGCTGCTAGGATGCCAGATCACCCCCTGCCACTCTAGTTCAGCAGTGAGTCTCTCTGCTCCTCCCCAGAGCTTCAAGAAACCTCTGAGCAAGCACAGTCCAAATTAAAAAATGAAAAGCAGGGCCGGAGGCAGCTGGAACTCAAGATGACCGCTCTGGAGGAAGAACTGTCAGATCTTCGAGCTGAGAAGGAGTCCCTGGAAAAGGTAAGTTCCACAAGCTGAGTTTCTCTCTTGGACCCAAGTAGCCAGCATTTGCTACTTAATAAACTTTATTATTGTCCTTAAGAAATTACAGTAGAACATACCTATTAAAACAAGTAGATCTCAGGGCAAGGTGATTTATAATGAAATCCGAGTTGGAGCAAGGTGTGAGATTTGAAAGTAAAGATGACAAGAAGAGGAAGCCAGAGAAGATAGGGAACTTTGAATTTATGTAACTTCCATTGCAACCTCCATTGCGTGCCAGCAGTGAGAAAGACTAAGGCGGGAACAGTGGAAGGAGCACTCAGGCAACAGCAAAGACTGGAAGAAGCAAGGGAGACAGATATGGTCTAATGTAGGTTTTGGAAAGATCTGACTAAAGAGAAACAAAATCCACTTGAGGGGAGCCAGTTCAGCCAGATTGTATCAAGTCCGCTCCAAGTCTGTTTATCAACTCCAGGTGAGGTAGCCATGTAGCCTGATCAGAGGAGATAGCCATGGGCCTGGAGTGCAAGAAATAAACAGAGATAAGTATTTAGGACACAACTTCATGGAGTTAATTTTAGCATGGAGCTTCTGAGGCCAAGTGAAACAACCTACTATGGAGTACCTATTATGTGCTCAATTATGTGCAATCCTATGAGATTGGTCAGGGAAACAGGCTCAGAGGTTAAGACGTACTTTGTTCTCTGTCTTGGGAATATTAAGCAGCAAGATTGGGATTCAAACTGTCCCTTGGACTTTAAGCTCTTTTCAAATTACTATACTGCCTCTGAACAGATTTAGTAACTGGAAAATCCTGTTTTTAATTCAGTAGTTTAAAAACAAGAGAAACAGGATTAGTAGTAGAATTTTCTTTGCATCATCCTTCTGTATCTTAGCTTTACAAAGCTGTAAAAATGTCAAACTAGCAGAGATTTTAGTCATCAGAGAACCAGCATTTTATAGCTGGCCTAGGGGGGCTTAGGAAGGACATGTATTGTCTACCAATGCTTTTTATCTGGTACATTAGGTCTGATTTTGTTTCTTATTTCTTGAAATGTTTCAGACAGAAAAAGTATGAAGAATAATATAATGATTATCCATGACCTAGCTTTAACAAATTTTTTTGCGGAACCGGGGATTGAACTCAGATCCTTGTGCTTGACAGGGAAACGCTTACTCCACTGAGCCATCTCCCTGGCCTGCTTTAACAAATTTTTAACATGCTTTTATATTTGCTTCTATGTTCCTTTTTGTCTTTCTGAAAATAAATATAATTTACTCCCTGAAAAAAAAAACAAGTAGAAATAATACATAAAATTATAAAATTTTTTTTCTTTCTCCCTTCTCTCATTTTTTAGAGATAACTGTACATACTGTAACGTGTGATCCTTCTAGATTCTTTTCTATATGCATAAAATATACTCATTTCACATACCTATAGATATGCTGATAAACTTTTTAAACAATAATGGGCTCGTGTTTAATTCTTTACTCTAAAAAGTACTGTGGATATGTGTTTTACATTAGAATGAGATTTTGGGGGTGGGACAGGGCTGTGGATTGAACCCAAGTCCTGATGCACACTAGGTAAGCACAGATCTATAGCCCAGCCTGACTGTTTTGTAGTTGTTGCATGATAATGAGGCTGTACCTCATAATTTAATTATCAGTGCTTTTTTATTTTGCTTGGGCCTGCGTATGAAGTGTAGGCTGGCCTTGAACTCTCTTATGTAGCTGGCCTTGAACTCACAGCAGTCCTCCTGAGGCAGCCTCCATTTTGCTGGACTGAAGGCATGTGCCACCACGTCTGGCCCTCAGTATATATTTATATCTGTACTTTTATATTATTTCAGGCTGCTGTGGACATCCTTATACTGTATGATTATTTTAGTGAATTCGAGCATTCTCAAAGGGTACATTGCTTGAATGAGAGTCATAGGATCAGTGGTAATGTCATGCATCTCAAATTGTTTTATCAGTATTGCCAGATTATTCTCAACGTGCTACTCACGCTTCCAGTACTGTGTGAATAAGCTCATTTCTCAGTACGTACATCACTTTTCTAACCCTTATTATGTCACAGCTGGAATGTAATAATCTTGGTTTGCTATATATTTTTATTAGAAGTCAATCTTTCATGTCTTTAGTGTGACTTATATTTTTACTATGAATTATTCACCTTTTAACGTCCTTCACCCTCTTTCCTATTGGTAAATCTGATTGGCAGATCCTACTAAGGGTATTAATCCTCTGTTAGTCTACAAATATTTTTCCATTTTACTCTTTTTTATTGTTGTTTTTGCAGTAGTGGGGATTGAACTCCTGACTTCTGTGCTAAGCTACATCCCTGCCCTTCTTTTCATTTTTATTTTGAGACAGGGTCTTGGTAAATCATTAAATTGCCCAGGATGTTGTAATCCTTCTGCCTCAGCCTCGCAGAGTGCTGAGGTTATGTGTGTACCATCACAAGCAGCAGTCGTGCTGTCTTGAGCACCACTGTTGGACAGGCAGCTTGCTGTCTCTTTACTTTGTAGCATATCTTATCTTTGTTGGTTGCAGGATAACTAGTGCCATAGAAAAAAGTGAGAATGCTTCTATCTCTAGAACAATTTAAATATAAAAAGAACATACTGTTCCTGAGGGTTCAAACACTAACAAAGCCTAGTGCCTTCTTAGGGGAAATCTTGGTCTACATTTACAGTTTTTTCTATGATTTTATCAGTTTTGTTTTTACTAAAACCTTTTTTTCCCCTGATTTTGGGGGCTGCTTTCACTTTTTATCTGAAACGGTTTTACTGCTTTCAGTGACTATCCTTACAGTATAACCTTAGGAACGTGACTTAATTGCTTTCTTAAAGTAAATTACAATTTTGAAATTTCTGGGTGTGTGTACTTTTAAAAACTTTTCACAAGATTAACATCCTGAACTGAGGATATAGCTTAGCGGCACAGTGCCTGCCTGGCAATTGCAAAGTCCTGAGTTTGATTGCTGGTACCAAAAATACCCCCAAAGGTTGCCATACCAAGAGAGTATGTCTATTTGTTTTTCCACCAGCAAATTGTGAAAATATCAGCTTCCCAGTGCTCTCACCAACAGTTGTCTACCTCTTAATGGAGTATTAAAGTCCTTATTTGTCTTTTCCTTATCGCAGTCTTCCTTACTCATAGTCAAGAATGTTAAATACACCATAATCCCAGAAATGGAGTAGACTCATCTGAGTAACTACCCTCTTACCTTCTGATAACCAGTTAGAGCTGATAGCAGTTTTCTTATTCCTAAGAACCTCTCAGAAAGGAAGAAGAAGTCAGCTCAAGAGCGCTGCCAGGCTGAGGAGGAGATGGATGAGATCCGCAAGTCGTACCAGGAGGAACTGGACAAACTTCGACAGCTCTTGAAAAAGACTCGTGTGTCCACAGACCAAGCAGCTGCAGAGCAGGTAATGGGAAAATGAAGTTCTTTAGGAATAAAAGGTGTGAAGGAGGCAGAAAACTTCTAGTTTCTTCCTCATCCTTCAGTATCATTTTTTCCAGTTGATATTCTTCACCTTGGAGAAAGGTTGAAAAAAGTAATCCAAATATATTCAGGATAGCAGGGGTCAAATGGAGAATCTTTTTTTTTTCCTTTAAAGATTAATTCATTAATATCTAATTATTTAACTAAAACATGAAAAAAAATCTCTTAAAAATTCTAGCTATGTAAGTCCTCAGCAGCTAGATGTCCTCTAGATACATCATCAACCTTGAAAAGGATACATTTATTTAAATAATCAGGTAAAACTGACAGTAGCCCCAAAAATCAGAAATCATGGGCAATGGCAGGATCCAGCTGCATGTCTAGTCCTTTTGGCAAGTCTTTCTCAGTGTACCTCTAAAACCTTTATGTGTAAGTCCAGTTTAGTTAGCGGCACTGGTGCCCTCAATTTGAGAATTTTGGTAGAAAATAAAATGTTTTTGAACCTGTAAAGTTTAGGGTGCAGACACTAAGAAGTGAGGATCACATGGACTTGCCTTTCAGGGACCGTCTGGACATTCACATCTTCGTCTTGTTGGAGCAACTTTTGGAGTTTTAACAAGCAGTGATACTTTCCTTTATTTAAGAAGTACTTAAAAAGTAATTAAGGTCTTTCGGGCTGTTGTTTCTTGATTAAATCCAGTCCATTAGCATATTCTGCTGCCTGATGAAGAATGGGCTCCCTTCAGTGCAATAGGACTGCTCATGACATGGCCTCTGCTTTCTTTTGGCAGCTGTCTCTCGTGCAGGCTGAGCTGCAGACCCACTGGGAAGCAAAGTGCGAGCATCTGTTGGCCTCGGCCAAGGATGCGCATCTGCAGCAGTACCAGGAGGTGTGCGCGGAGAGGGATGCCCACCAGCAGAAGCTGACATACCTTCAGGAAAAGGTAGCTATTTTCCGAGGACCAGGCAGTTTAAGCAGCCCAATTGATTTGAGGCCAGCAGGGTGCTCAAGTCTTCTACCTGCTTGATCCTAGATGTGTTAATAGCTTGAAAACAAAAACATGCTTGTATTGCTATTCAGTTTGTCAGTTATCTTTTATATATATGTTGATGTGGAGTGACAGATCAGTGACCTGGAAAAATTGAAGACACAGCACTAATGTTTGGAAACAAATCTTCCATTTTTGTTTGATCCTTTATTTATTAAGCAAATATATATTTAGTGTCACTTGTGTTCCAGCCACTGTGCCAGAGAACAGGTACACAAAGAACTCTGTCTTCAATAATCTCAGTTAATAAAGAAAACAGAGATTTGCATTAAGTACTGTGGGTCCAAGAAGAGGAAGTGCCTAGGGGATTTGGGAAGGCTTCCCAAAGGCGGTAGCTCTTAAGCCAAGCCAAGGACAAGTGGCTATGATAAGCAGATAGGGAGGCAGAACATCCTGTGCAAAGGCTTTGAGGTAGGATCAAGGCTTCCTGTATGCAAAGGAAGGTGGCTCAGGGTCCTGGTATGAAGGTCCCAGGGTCATGGTATGAAGGTCCCATATCTGGAGGTTAGCTTATTTGCTTAAAGAAGCTAGTCAGAAACCTATAACTCAGAGATCTTCAAAGCCATCTTGGAGGTGCATGGGTTGCTACTTATGTTGTTTATGTGTATGTGACTACAGTTCTAATCTGTTCCCTCTTTTTGAGTTGGGTGATGAGGAAATAGAGGGCTCTACATCAGTGGCCTGGGGTAGGAGCTGAGGAGGTAGTCCTACAAAATCTATGTGAGGTTGTGGCTTGATGCTTACGATGAGTCTCCTCCACTTATGTTTCCTGACCTTTACATCGTAGTCCATGTTCCTGAGCCCACAGCCATGGTCTGGTTGTTTTACAGTGTTTAGCCCTCCAAGCCCAAGTCACAGCCCTCACAGAACAAAATGAACAGCACATCAAGGAACTAGAGAACAAACACCAGAGATCTGGAGTTGAAGCTGCTGACCCCTCAGAGAAGGTGAACAATACTATATTTTGAAGAACCAGTAAGCTGTATAACACATCAAGGGGTGGAATGTGCATATCAAAGGCATTCCCAAAGCATATGGCAAATATGTTTTGTGGCTGACTTAAAAATTAAGTCTTTTTTTTTTTTTTTTTTTAAATGAGCAGAGTGTGTTTATTGAAGGAAAGAAAATGCCTGTCAGAGAATTGTTCCAAAAATTAAATCTTTAGAACCTTCAATTCTGACAATTCCAAAAATGGCTCTGAGCCTTTGATATATACAGGAAGTGTCTTTGAATAACAGGAGAATAAAAGGTGGAATTGTGCCCAGCATCCAGACCCCATTAATCCTTGGCATTCGTGAAAGTTTCATTGGTGGAAGGAGGTATCAATAAATGGTCTTTTAACAGTGTTGGCCACATCTACTACAGTTTACCTGCTCTTGACAGAGCTCTCAAGCCTGACCCTCTGTCAAAGTGTCCTTGTTATTTAATATTGCCCTCTCCACAGTGGCAGCTCTTAGTATCTTTTCATGATCAGCTATGTAGAATGCTAAGATGGCATCATTTTAGCCTTCCAGACCCCTCTGTGGAATTTCAGTGCATCTCTTAGTGGTTTGACTTTGCCAACATGTTTTTGATCATCACACAGGTCAAGAAGATCATGAATCAGGTGTTCCAGTCACTACGGGGAGAGTTTGAGCTGGAGGAATCGTATGATGGCAGAACCATTCTGGGGACCATCATGAGTACAATCAAGGTATAGCCAGCTAGAGCTGCTGACTGTTCCATTGGAATGGATACTTTGTTGATCCCCTGCAATGGATCATGAGTAAGAACAGTAGGCTGTTCATCTTTAATTGGTTTTTCTTAGAATGACTTGTTCCTGGCTGGATTTCCCAGCCTCTTCTGAAAAAGAGAAGCACAACCATTTTACTAACATACAGCTTTGTTAATGAGGATGGAGGAATTAGCATGGCTTTCTGTTTCCATTCAGTAGCAATCTCTTCCTTGGCTTTTGAACAGATGGTGACTTTGCAGCTGTTGAACCAGCAGGCACAAGAACATGAAGAGAGCAGCAGTGAGGAAGAGGAGCAGCCTCAGAGACCATCCCAGGAGCAGTCAGGCTCAGCCACTCCTGAGCTGTCCCTAGCAACCCTGGGTACGGAGAGACAGGAGGCCCCAGTGGTGCCATTGCAGCAGGTGGTTGAAGAGGCTGTCTCGTTACCTCCACAAGTGCTCAGCATGCCCCAGGATGGGGTACAGAGAAGGGAAGGGGTGCCCTTAGAAGCAGAGGTTCTCTCAGAGGTCAAAGATGATTACCTCCCACCTGAAGCAGCTTGCATCCCAACCCACAGATTTCCAGGGCCCCCAACTTCAATTCCCCCTAAGCCTCCAGGTCCTGTAACTATGGACTCAGAGTATGAGGAGACACTTGCTGCTTCCGTGACTGCAGCCAAGCTTGACAACCCACTGGGAAAGGTGCATGTTGGGGAAATAGCTCCAGAGGGTCCCCTACAAGAAAGCTCTTGGACACTGTCACTGACTCCAGACCCAGAGAAGGAGGACCCACCAGCGTTGGAGCCTGAAAGCCTGGGAGGAGAGCCCCAAGTCCCAGAGCTCAAAGGATATGAGGCTGTTACTGGTTCTTCTGGCTCTTTCAAAGCATCATCAAGCACAGAGGCCAGTACTCCGGCTGTAGAGGCTGCCCTCAGACCCAATCACCATTATCAGCATTCCAGGTATGTTCTTCTGAGCACAGTGGCAGCAGCTGTTTGTGGAGGTTGTCTCTTATTTCGTCCAATGCTGGCAACTCATTAGTTAGATACTGACTAGGTTACTTCATTCATTCGTTCGTTCATTCGTTCATTCGTTCATGTATTCTATAACACTTCTCTGTGGAAGCTGTGCTGATGGTGTGGGAGAGAGGGTAGATGTTTATGATTTTTTAAAAATTTTTTAATTATTTAGTACAGGGTCTACAGGGTCTCACTACGTAGATTGGACTCCCAGTGATCCTCCTATTTTCAGCCTCCCAAGCACTGGAATTACAGGGGTGTGCAACCATGCCCAGTCTCAATTGCCTTCTCAGCGTGCCTTGGGGGTGGGGCCAGCACAGCACGCCAGGGGATCAAACCCCAGGCCTCTGTGTCTGCCTAAGCAGGCTTTTTAATCTCTGAACTATCTGGCCAGCCCCTGTTCATGAGTTTTAAAGGCTTATAGTTCAGCCAGGCATAGTGGTACATAACAGTACTTGGAAGACTACAGCAGAGGATCATCATGAGTTTGAGCCCAGCCTGCGTCCAACACTAACTTGAACTTTCAAAACAAAAATTAATTAAAATAAAAACTCATAAGGGCTGGTGAGATAGCTCAGCGGACTGAGTGCCTGTACCAAATACATTTTTTTTTTTTTTTTTAAAAAAAAGAACATGTAAAATAAAAACTTACAGCCCGAAGATAGCTTAGCGGACTAAGCACCTGCTTGGGCAAATGCAGTGACCAGGGTTGGATCCTGGGCACCACATGCTGCGCTGGCCCTGCCCCCTGGGCGTGCTGAGCTGGCCACCCAGACCGGGTATGGTGGTGCATGCCTTTAATCTCAGCTCTGGGGAGGCTGAAAACAGGAGGATCACTGTGAGTCTGAGCTGCGTAGTGAGACCTGTACCAAATACATTAAATTAAAAAAAAAAAACCAGTCTAGTGGCGAAGATTTGCATATTATAAAAGTAGGGTAGGTGCTAAAGAAAAGAAAGAGGGTGCTATAATAGAGACTAACATGGAATGTTGTAAATTAAATGGTGTGGTCAGGAAAGGATTTTGAGAATGTAACTTCTAAACTGAGACCTAAGGATGGAAAGGAGCCATCCATACCAAGAGTAGGAAGAAGAGAGTGTAGTGAGAAAAGCATATGCAAAGGCTATGTGGTGGGAAGGAACTGAAGAGGCAAAAGTACAGTAAATAGGTGAATAGTGGGAAGGTGAAGTCAGAAAACCAAATAGGGTCAGGATACATGAGATTGTGTTGCTGCTAAAGCTTGGATTTGGTGTAAGGACTTTGAGAAGCTATTGTGGGGACTTAATCAGAAGAGTAATGTCTGATATTTTAGCTTTGCAGGACTGTTCTGGCTGTAGCTTGTGGAAAGATCCATTGCACGGGGAGTGGGAAAAGCCACTGGCATGGATGTGTGAGGAGCTCCTGAGTGATTCTTAGCCCATGCTGGTGACCCTTATAGTTAATAAGCTCTGTGGCCTACAATAGAGACGGCAACATTGTCTGTGACTTAATTTTCTTTCAGTTGTTCTGGAAATGAAGAGGAAAAATGCTTTAAAGGAGCAATTTTTAGACTTCCAAGGCCCAAAGGACAGCCTGTGGAGGAGGATGAAGACGAGGTGGTAAGGAAACCCCAGGCCCTGCCAGGTCCTCACACCAACACCTGGGGACCCTTCCCCACTGGCTCAGAGAAGAGAAGTGCAGTCTGTTGGTGGCCCACTGCCTGGACTCTGTGTACAGGGCCCTGCGGGAGCAGACTTGAGGCTGGGAGAGGGCAGCTCTGTAACCATGGCAGGGATGGTCAGATACCACTTTACTCTTGAAGGAGAATCAGAATGTCTGGCCATGTAGGAATGAGTTTTACTTGAAGTGCGGAATGGTGGGCTGCTCAGCCCTACATTGACATGCTAAAGCTCAGGTTTCCCTGGATTTATATTTTAGAATTAGGAAGGAGTTTGAAGATCACCTTGTCAGTATCTTTATTAGGCAAAAGACACCAAAGCTTAGAGATAATTTTCCTAAAGCCACAGAGTGGATGGTGAGCCTCCTAAGGCACCTGTTTCTGAGCACTTTGTTCACTCAGTTCCCATCCAAGCTGCTGCCTTGGTCTGTTATCACAACACATGGCCAGCAGCTGGGCTCAGTATTGAGAGCATCGCCTTCCTTTAGAGTGCAAGGCCAGCAAAGTAAGCTGTTAGCAGAGCCTGGATTGGAGCTCCAGGTCCTGTACCTGCCGTGCCTCATTGTACTAGGTTAAACATGGGCTGGCTGTGGGCCATTGTGACTGCTGTGGTGGGTTTTCACTGGTGTGAAGAACACAGATAAACTTTAGTCCACATTTCTAGGGACAGAAATTTGAGGACAAATGGGAGTTGTTTCCATTGTGTAACACTGAGTGGGTTTTGCCTTTTGCCAGGAGACAGTGACAGATCTGGGATCTACCTTGTTTATACCAGAGCCTTCTCTTCTGTCTATCTTACTTTGAAGGAAGTGTACTAGTTCCTGACATTGCCTTTTCTCAAGAATTAAATATTGCTTTGAGAAAATAAAGTACAAACTATATTAAACGTAAGAGGAAAATAAATAGCTCACGTGGATGCCTATGTATAGTTGGCATTTTTAAGTTAGCAGTATATTATAGCTATTAATGCTGCCACCACCTCAACACCTATTGCTTGTGTAGAGAAAACTGTTTCACACACTCAATCCTCTACTAATCTAGTAAGGTAGATGCTCTTATCACATTTTATAGAGCAGAGCACTGAGGCACAGAGAGGTTAAATAATATAACTCAAGTTGTATGACTGGCGAGGGGGTAGAACCAGAGGCTTAAAAGAAAACAGAAGGTCTGAGCTACACATAAGTCCTGTTTTGGTAGAATTTAGTAGTCACCTAGCTAATTCCCGGGGAAGTAAAACTCCTTTTAGCAGTAGACAGTGGGGTTAGCTCAGAGGCAGGCCTCTGTATATGTTGCCTTCTCTGGGACCAGCCTGCATGGAGACTTGATTCTGACCAACAGGAGCTTAGTGAGCAGAAAGTACCTTAACAAGACACCGCCCCAAGGGACCTGTTCCCTGCTAGTTCAGAGAGAAAAAGCTAGGAGCACACATCACAGAAATACTGGGAATCTTCTGCATGGTTCCTGTGTTAGTCATCTTTCTGTTACTAGCATATGGTCCCTGAAATGATGAGCTTAGAAAGAGGAAAGGTTTATTTTGGCTCACAGTTTGAGATTTTAGTCCACAGCTAATTGACTTTGTGGTTTTCGTGCCTAAAACAAGGCAAAACCACATCCTGGTGGTGGAGGGGAGAGAATGAGGAAGGGGCCGTGGGGTCCTACTGTCTCCTATAGGGGGTCCCCTCCACCATCTAAGGCCTCCCCCAGGTTCCATCTCTTAAAGTTTCCATTGTCTCTCAGAATTACCAGGCTGGGGAAGGTGGGCAGGGGTTGGGGGGGAGTAAGTCTTTAATAACAAAGAGTCTTTGGGGGACACTTAAGGTCCAGACTATCATACTCCTCAATCCCCTTTATCTCCCTACCTGGTTGGAAGGAGCAGGATGGAGAGAAATAGAAATCAAGGTTGTGAGTATGGGCCCTGGTCCCTGGGTTATTTTTCATGTTGGGAATTCCGCTTGAGAATGTGGCCAAGCCTCTGAATTCAATTCTTTTTTCAAAGGAGTCACATCCCAAGCCAGTCAGTCTACTGTCTTAGGCCACAAAGCTGTTTTTGATATGATTTGTGTTCTCCCCAGCTTCCTGTCAACTTCTGCATCCTTTCTCCTTTCTCAGGGCTATTCTGTTTCTGTTTCTTTCCCCTACTCCCAACTTTCCTCTACGACTCCTCTTTCTGCACAGGAAATGTGTAAGTGACCAAATGAGAGGAAAATCTGTCAAATCAATACACATACTTCATAAATAAATGACATCAGCCAAACAAAGTTGGTCTTTTTGTCTCTGTTGCACAACTGCTTTCCCATCTGCATGCCCTCTCAGCTGTACCTGGAGGCCAAGGCTGCAGGGCTCTGGGCTGCTTCTCTCTGTGCACCTCCTTTCCAACCTGGAGTGGGAAACAGATGTTGAGCTACTTCACATCCCAAGCAGGAAGTCCATCCGGGTGGGAACAAGGGAGGACTGACTGCTTTTTCCTGTTTTGTCAGAGCATGAAGGGACATCCGCCCCCAACGCCCCTTTTTGGAGATGATGATGATGACGCTGACGCTGACTGGCTGGGGTGAAGGCCGGGGAGCCTGTGCACAGAGCTCTCTACAGCCCTTCCCAATAAGCATGATTTTGCACAGCCAGCCCTGGGTCTAGGCAAGCCACAGGGTGAGGTCAAGGTGAGCAGTTCAGCTACCTGAGTTTGGCCTCTTGGGAGCCCTCACCTGACTTGGTGAAGAGGATCAGGACTCTGTCTTCAGAGCTGGTGTTTGGAGCAGTCCACTATGGCAAGGTCCATGTGGAGGAAGGGCTGTGAGGTTCCTCTCCAGCCCGTCACCCACAAGGGTCCTGCCCTCTTTCAAGCTTTTTCTTCTCTTCATTCACTCTCAGACTGACCTGAGAGCCCAGCTTCATCTGTCAGAGCCTTGCTGTGTCCAAGCAACAAGACCTGTCTCCCGGGTGGGGGGTCTTCCAGGAGAACCACAGGGAGATCACATCATCTCTATCCCTGTTCAGTCAGCAGCCTGCCTGCTGTCCTAGGATGTATTTTTTTCTCTGCCTTAAGTCTTACACGTGAGGTCAATGAGTATTTGAAATTAACAAAACTAAAATAAATGACTAATGAAACTTGACTTGGTCCTTGGAGAAAAATTAGTTCTACGGGCTATTGGTGGTTCTTGTGGGAAACTAAGGGTGGGGGTAGTAAATGGATCTCTTAATGTGCACAGAAGTGTTGTGACCTATTCACTTTGGTATCTTAACCTGAAACTTAGGCTTCCAAAGAAGGTTACCACTGAGCTGTCCCAGCTCATCTAGCCGCACAAGGCTTAGGGACTTATGGTTGTCTGAAGACCAGTCTGTAAAGGGCCTCTCCCAAATGAGCCATGAGAGAAGTTGGGAGGGTTCACATTTTCCATTGTCCTTGGCACCTTAAGAAGTCTTCACTTTGGGAGCAGCTTCAGTCTCTCTGAAATTGGGGGGCCAGAGAACAACAATGAGAATTTATCTGTAGCTATATTATTTATTTTAGGCTCTTCCAAAGACCATGCAACTAGTTCTCAAAAATAAAATGTTACTCAATGTTGATATGATAGGAACCTGTCTGGGTGAGGTAGTGTATGCCTGGAATCCCTGAATTTGGGAGCCTGAGACAGGAGGACACTGGGTGTTCAAGGCCAGCCTGAGCTACATAGTGAGTTCAGGTCTAGCCAGAACCCCATAGCAAGACCTGGTCTAAATGAATGAATGATAGGAACCTGAATTCCACTCTGTCTGGCCCACATCACCTTTGTAGGTTTTAGGCCTATCTCCGCAACATGAGCTTGGAGGGCATTGAGAGCAATCAGGTATTAACCTTAATTATTTAACAGGTGCTGCTGGCTGGCACTGTACATAGACTGTCTTGTCTCCAACACTCATTGCAGGAGACATGAAGGGTTTATCCCCTTTTATAGGGAAGAATCAGGCTTAGAGAAGTAAAAGCAACTTGTCCAAAATTATATAGCCAACAAGCTATAGAACAGAGATCCAGTTCTTGGCTGGCTGATTAGAGTCTGGGCTCTAGGCCACCACCACTGCTGGACTGCCTTGGGATTGAGAGGAGCGAGTTGTGCAGAAAGGACCCAAGACTGGATTTACATTGGCTCCCCAGATGGCTGTATTCATTATGTGTTCGGACATGTACTAATAAAAGTGTAGGCCTTTGGCCCAACCTGGCATTTCTAGAGACAGATTTTCTGCCCCTTTTTGGTACAATGTAAAGTAGTTTTCTAGTCTATTTCCTTGCTCCCTGAGTGCTGTGTGGCCTTAGACACTTTAGCACTTAGCACTTTCATCAGCCCCTCATGAAAACAGCTGACAAGACGGACTCGAGCTAGGCATGGATGGTGGCACAGGCTTGTGAACCCAGCACTGTTGGAGGCTAAAGCAAGAGGATCAAATGTTTGAACCCAGCCTGGGCAATTAGCCAAGACCCTGTGTCAATTTTTTTTTTTTTTTGGAACTGGGGATTGAACTCAGGCCCTTGCGCTTGCCAGGGAAGCACTTATTCCACTGAGCCATCTCCCTGGTCCCGTGTCAAAATTTTAAGAGTTTCAGGGGTATAACTCGGAGCAAAGGCCCTGGTGTCATCAGGTCTTTAGGATTGAAAAAAAAAAAAAAGGATGGCGTGAAAACTGCCTCTGTGTCCTAGTAACTGGGTGACTAGTTCTTTGTTCTTCAGTTTCCTCTGTAAGATGGGAGACAGGAATAGTTTATATTTTGTTGTAATATTTAAGTGGACTTAATATTTGTAGAGTGCTTAGAACACTGTCTGGCACCCTGTAACTACTAATGAGAAGTTAGTTTCATTTTTAAAAGTTTTCCAGGATTGGCGGTGCATGCCTGCGATGGAGACACTTGGGAGACTGAGGCAGAAGGATCACTGTGTGAGGTCAAGGCCAGCAAGATCCCATCTCAGTATTCTTTTAAAAAGTAGGGAAAATACTTTTTATGACCTGGCCCTGAAGGGTGTAGAGACAGCAGTGGATTGCTTCCTAAGTGTAATGTATAATCACTCTCTATAGCCTAAATGTAAAAAAGAAAAAAAAAAAAGACCTCTATTATAAAAGCCACATTTAGAGACTGTCAAACTGAGGCAATTACTGGCCACCCATGAAGGTGCCATTTCAGCAGAAGACGGCAAGAAGCCCTAGGGCAGGACTTGATGGATACCTGAGCTCCCACTGAAACCTTACACTTGTGGCGGTCCCGGGCAGCTTTCCAGCTCCCTGTGCCCAGCAAGCCTACAGGTGTCACATACTCCACTTTCTGATGGTTATTATACATGGAAAAGCAGTCATATTTTTGCTTCTTCCCTCAGAGAGCAGGTGCTAACATCCATCACAACTCAGGCACTTACGTGTGTGTGATGGGGTCTTTTATTATAGTGGGGCACATATTAATGCTTGCTATGTGAACAAAAGAATGGGAAGTTGGCGTTTGGGGGTGTCCGTGTGGAGGCAGTGTTTCAGCCTGTTTCTGAGCACAGAACTGTTGGCTTTAGCAGATGGACAAACTCAGGCCTCGGATAGACAGGGTGCCCCCAGCTCCATTCATCCCCCCTCAGGTCCTGCAGTTGGGACAAGGTTGTATTCTTTCTGTTTGAATGAGGAAAAATAGATCAACAGCCACAGACTGTTCAAAAATATATATTTATTAAAATGTATTTGTTTTAACTCCCAAAGCTTAAAAGTATCTTTTCATCTAGCCCATGAGGTACTTAAGCATAGAAATTACAGTATACAGCAGTGGTTTTTCTCTCCCTGGGTTTCTTTTTCTTCTCTGTAAAGTTCAAACATCTATAGTCCCTCTAATTTGAAACGGGTGCCACCTTTGGTCTGACTGCTTCCTGTGTCCTCAGTCACCCCCCCCCCCCCGCCATCGCCATGGCTTAATCAGTGACTGAATCATGTCTCCACATCGGATCATCACATAAGCAGTGAGTAATAAATAGAGAGCACTAAGCACTGACAGTGTTAAACGCAGTTCTCTGTTCTGCATAAAAGAGAATCTAGGTAAGGGTGGGGGCACTCACCCCGACATACTGACCTCCCCTGCAGGCAGTGCCATCTGATGGCAGGGGCTCGTTCTATTCAGATGATAAGACAGAGCCTTGCTAACACCTCAGTCTAATCAGTCTAACTATAATCAATTCTTGTTTATCCCCCAGGAAAGGGAGACAGGCCTCAGCAGATGCTGCCATCCATCATTTATAAAATATTTCATTAAAATTTTTATTTTGTATGAATGTGCAAAATTGCCAAGCAGAAGTCCAATGAGAAAATGAAAAATCTTGGTCCACGTGATCCACTGAAAGGCAATCTTCATGTGTTCAAAGGCAGAAAGGTGAGAAAAAGGAGCAAGGGTAGTCTCTGACCTGCCCCCCCCCCAAAGACATCTCTGTGGAAGATGCTCCTGTAGATAAGGCACAGAGCAGGAGGCAGGGTGTCCAGGTTTCATGGCCATTGTCACCCAGAGCCCATCTCTCTGTCCTGAAGATCTTTGGAAGTAAGTTTTAGCCACAGTGTTGCATCGTCCACCGCAGGCTCTGGCTCCTCCATCTGCACCCTGGTCAGAGCAGCCTTAAACACTAAGCTGGGGCCTGCCCAGGATGGTGAAGGGGAAGTGGCTGCAGTGCCCTGCGAACTCCAGGGAGTGAGTCTGGCTTCTGTCCACAGTTGCCAGAAGCTGGGCAGACGAGGAAAAAGCAGTGGCAAGTATGACATCTGGAAGAAGGGGCTCTGGCTCCCACCAGCCCTCAGGGCCTGCTTGTCCTCTGCCAGCTAAACCTTGCCGAGAAGAGGGTACACTAGGTAGTAGCCCACAGCTGAGCCCAGGACCACACCAAGGAAAATCCAGGCATTGTAGGACATGACAGCCAACATTATGAAGTAGCCAATGACCACCTGAATGACATGGACTAGAGACTGGCCAAAATGACACAGAAACCACCTAGACAAAGAGAACCAAGTTAGTGCTTGTAATGTGTTAGAGGCAAGGAGTTCCTATCTGGGAGTAGCAAGCCCTGATGTTACAACCTAATACTCTGAGCCTAGGAGAGATTGCTATTTATTTATTTATGGAACTGGGGATTAAATTTAGGCCCCTGTGCTTGCCAGGCAAGCACTTATTCTACTGAGACATTTCCTTGACTCCAGATTGCTTTTTAAAGAAACATCACTACATTTAGTCTGAGCTTCCTGGTATCCTAGGCAACAAGGGAAATGATGTATGTGATGTGTCTTGTCTGAAAAGGGATACAAGGAAATCATCACTAATGCAGATTTTTTAAGACCCTGAATGTATTGTGGGAGGCAGGATGACAATGCAAAGAGCAGCCACTCGTGGCAGATCAGTTCCTAGCTTTGCCATTTGCTGAATCTGGCCTAGCAGAAGTGTTTAAATGTCTCTGAATGTTAAATTCCTTACCAGTACAACAGGAATAAAACTCCTTCCCTGCAAGATGGTTTGGGAAGACTTCAGCCACTCAACTAAGGTACTTGGTGATGGCACATGCAGACTAAGCTCCGGAAGGTGAGGATGGAGAGAGGACAGAGACAGACTGGGGACTCTATACAGCTGCCTGATCTAATGGAAAGGCAGAAAAGGTGGATACATAGCTGACAGCAATTCTTAGCATTTGCTTCGGGACAGCTGTAGATGCCCCCCTGGGTTGGAAGCCTACTGGTAGGAAAGAGGGTTGAGTGGCCATCATGCTGCTAGGCAGGGACCTGCAGCACAGTTTGAAGGTCACAGGTCCCTGCAGAAATCCTGAGCTTCCCAAATATCTCTGGATATAGCTTTGGCCAAGGTAATGGGGAAAGTTCAGCTATTGTTCACCTTATTAAGTGTAACCACTTTTAGCAAGTCTCGGTCTTTTCCTCGGCCTTCCCACCTCCTACCACCAGTGCCCGTACCTGAAGGTCATTCTGCTGACCGAGAGTGAGTCTGTGTCTACAGAGTCCTGTTCTCTTGCCAAGATGAGCTCCTGGCTGGCAGGCCTGTGCAGGTTCACCAGAGTGTGGTAGAGGAGCTTGGCTTTGCCAACCTTGATGCCTTCGTACAATACAGCTAAGAGCAGGACTACCAACACGGAGAGTGCCATGCCTGTTGAGAGAGGTGGAGTTGAGAAGTAGGTTCTGGTGTTTCATGTACAGTAAGGCAGCAAAAGTCATTTATAATTAGCGTATATTTAAAAAAATCTAGTACTGTAGATATTTTTACTACAAAACACATTTCAGTAAATACACTGGCTTGAACATTATACAATATATACACATCAAAACATCACATAAATAGGTACAATTTCTGGAAGGAAGGAAAGAAGGGAAGGAGGGAGGGAGGAAGGGAGGGGAAGGAACAGAAAAGCAGGGATCAGGGGGGCAAGATGCAGAGACCTGGCCCGCCCCCTGAGCAGTCCCACATCTGTCCTGACATGGCTGTGCACAGCGAGGTCCTACTCTCACGTGGGCATACCAGACAAGTCTGGAAAGAAGGACATGCAGCAAAGGAGGAGTACTCATCACCCAGGCATGCTTGGATACAGGTGGGTTTTATTTTCTTGCATAATTCTTTAGTTTTTCCTGTATCTATTTTATAGTAAAGAAAGCTCCACTAAGTTATTTTGTAGAAAATAAGTGCTTGCTTACTAGAGCTATTGTGTAAAATTAACTTCTGGTTCTCTTTTTTATGTCTTTAATGGGGAAAGACATGGTCAAGCTAAAGATTTTGTTTTGCTTTTTTGTGGTACTGGGGATTGAACACAGGGCTTTCATATTGAGATACATTCCCAGCCCTTTTTTAATTTGAGACGGGCTTTGCTAAATTGCCCAGACTATGCATGAATCTACAGTCTTCCTCCTTCGACCTCCCAGAGTGCTGTTAACAGGCATGTGCCACCATGCCTGGCTTCCAGCTAAAGTATTTTGTGGGGCTCAGTGACATAATAAATATGTATTTGGTTTCTGCCTTGGTTTTTGGCACACAGCTTAAAAAACCCCTGGGAATTGGCCAGAGGTTTTTCTTTCTTTTTTTTGGTATGCTATTAAGATGACTAAGTGGGGGGGGGGGAAGATGACGTAAGTGTCTGACGCTCTAAGATAGCCAGCCTCAGGATGGAGCTGGCTACCAGGTGACTAGAGGGTTGGAACTCTCAGCCCTACCTTCCACCTCTGGAAAAGGAAGAGGTGATTAAAGGTTGAATTAATTACCAATAGCCAATGACTTAATCATACTCTAAATTCTGTGAGCCATTCTGGCCATAATTGGTCCCAAGAAGGGGTTCACGGGACCCAATTTTATAGCTGACTGGTCACAAGTACAGGAGATGACCTGAAGTTTGCAATTAATGTCTGGTAGGGGGAAATCTTGCAGCATGGTGCTCTTAACCTATGGGTCTGTGCATCTAATCAGTGTGAGAACTGAACTGCAGGCCACTCAGCTGGTATGGGAGGGGGGGGAGCCACAGAGCTGGCCATAGAAGTATCCTGAATGAGAAAAAGTAAAAGCAGGTTGGCATTTTCCCTCAGAGGCAATCATCTACAAAAGATGGAGGATTTCAAAACATTAAATTACAGGTAACTGCATGCACATGGTAAAAATTCCAACAGTACAGAAAGGTATGTAGTGAAAAATCAGTCTTCTCCCCAGCCTGGCTTCTCGGATCCCTGGTCCTTCTCCCCAGAGCAGCTATCATCATGTGCATACTAGCCTTCACCTGTCTGAATGACACATCCTGTTTCTGCACATTCCAGCATCTGACTTCATCCAGCTGTACCTTGTGTGTGGGTTTATACAGACCCGCTTGTTTTTTCCAATGGCTCCATAGTATCTGTAATATTTTATTTTCCAAAGATGGCCACCCAAATATTCTAATTCCTTGGTGAGGAATGTTAACACTCCTCACCAAGTGGTAAGGGCCATGCTTTCTCCCCTTTAGCCTAGGGAGACCTTTCTGACTGCCTCAACCAATGAGGTGGAAGTCATGTGATTTCCAACGATAAATCTTTAAAACCTCAGGTGCTTCCTTGTTTTCTTAGGACAGTCATGTTTAAAACCCAGCCATCCTGCCATGAGAAAGCCTAGCCCATAGGAACCACACATAGGTGTTCAGCCAAGAGCCCCAGCTGAAATCCTAGCTCACATTTAGCATCAACCAATGCACATGAGGTGAAAAGTGCCCAAGGTGATCCTGTTCCAGGTGCTATGTGACAATACCTCCCGAGGCCTTCAGTGAGGACCACTAAGCTGAGCCCAGTCAACTTCTGGAATCTGAGTGAGAATGATAAAATGACAGTTGTTTTAGTCTACTTACTTAGTAATGGTTAATTGGAATGGTAAGCCCTTGTAGGGATGATTATAATTTACTCAGTCTATACCTACAGATGAGCATCTGGGCTATTTTTAGTCTTTTTTATTCCTATTTTTTGTTTTGTTTTTTTGAGACAAGGTCTCACTATGTAGTTGAGGCTGGCCTTAAACTCGCAGTGATCTTCCTTCTGCCTCAGCCTCCCAAGTGCTGGGGTTACAGGTGTGCGCCACCATGCCTGGCAAGATCATTATTTGTGTTGCAAAATAAATCATGAATTAGTTTAGTATCAAATTCTGCTCTTTCGAGTCAAAGGAACAGTCTTCCCTTTCAAATTGGTGTCTCATCTAAAGTCCAAGGCTGCAGAGGTTGCAGGGGGCTTTTGAGCTAGTGCTGGACAAGCCCAGTGATGGAGGTCCCAGCAATCCTAGGAGGACTCGATCTAGTTCTGGCTTCAGTGCTTACTCACTGTGTGCCTCTGCATGAATCTCTGTCCCTGTGGGGCTTCAGTTCCTTCCCCCTAGGAGAGAGGGAAAAGCTACCTCACCAACCTCTGAAAGGATCAGGAATATTATGGAGCCCTGTGCAACCTGAAGGGTAGTGTTGACAAATGGAATTGCAGCTGCAAATGGAATTGTAGTTGCAAAGTTCCTTCTCAGGGCAATAATGGAGGAATGCTGGTCTCCAGTGCCCCATGCTACAAGGCTTGTTAAGCAACAAGCCTGAGCTGCTGAATTCTTACCTGCAGGACTGTGGACACTCCAGAAATCAAACAGAAGCATGACCTTATCTGAGAAGATGAAATGCATCTGGAATAGAAAGGAATCTGTATCACAAGGCACTTCAGGCAATGCAAGTTCAGATTCCTAACATCTTGGGATATCACAGTGACCTGATACCATGAAGCTATGTCCCCTTGTGCCCTCTACATCCACTGGGGAAGCAACAGGTTGCCTCTTCTTACCCCCAGTCCAACCCTCCTGCTCAGCTCCAGGTCAGGCTCCCCCGAGGGAGCAGAGTGCTTTTTGTCCTGGTGAGTCCAGGCAGATGAGTGCAGCATGCCGTGGAGGGGCCCAAAGACAGCTCTCTCCAATCTATGCGCATCTGTCCACCTCTGTCCACTGTGCACTAAACACTGGCTGAGCTAGCTTTGTGCTCAGCGTCAAGAAGGGTTAATGTCTCTTCTCTGAATGAGTTCAGGGCCTTCCAGGAAAGACTGAAGGTAAATGCAATGCTCATATGATGCTTGTCTGCCCATCTCAAGAGTGCTGTGTTCAGGGTGTCATCAAGGGATTTTTATATATTACCCAACCTGATGGCACAAGAGTCCTCTGTGTGACAGGGACAATTAGGCACATTTTATAGGAAGGAACCTGAGGAAGCTAGACTCAGGGTTAAGTAATTTGTAGGATGCCACAAAGCTAATATGGTGGCAGAGCTAGAATTCAAACCTGAGGCTAGCTGGATCCCAAGCAGTGTCAGCTCTCCAAAAGAGGGCAAGACAGGACCTGGACTGCAATATTAGATACCCAGCCAGGCTTAGGACTATGTTTAGCAAGACCAAGGTCAGTTTGCTCAGTCAGGCAGTTTTCTCTTCCCTGGAAAGAGAATGTCCCATCTTGTCATCAGGTAAGGCTATGTAGCTAGCAGAAGTTGCTCTGCAGGCAGCAAGCTGAGGAACCCTGGTAGCACTGGGATCAACCGGTAGAAGCCTTTGCTTTCTAAGACAGTGGCCCAATATTAAAATACTAGTGTGTCAGAGCTGGAGGTATTGCCAGAGGAGTTTTGGTCTCCTGGTGTTCAGCTTTTTCACAAGAGAACGCTGGCAAATAAAATCTTCCTCATTGCTCCATTATAAAACACTGGGTTCTGAGTGAAGAGAAGAGAGGCTGAATTCTGCTGACGTTCAGATTGAAAAACACTGATCCAGCCCAACTCCACCCCACTCCACCCTCACATTTATAGGTGGGAAAGGGATCTGCCCATGAGGCTTGGCTGCTCTCAACTGTGTTCAGTGGAGAGGCCCTGGAGGCCTCCTATTCTCAACTCAGAAAGGGTGTTCAGGCTGAGGCAATCTTCCAGGGGTGGGTGGACCCAAGGGCACACTAGATGAGCTGCATTTTGTATAGAAACTCTGCCATGTGGATGTTCCATGGCTTCCCGAAACCAAACTCACAAACGTCTGCCCACAGGCAGGAGCCCCAAAGCCCTGTCTGCTTTTCCCTCCACTCTCGAAATACAAGAGCAAAGGCAATAGTAAGGAACAGTAGACTGCGTCTAGGATTTAGAACCTCATCTGTCCATCAAGGCCTCTCATAGGCTTCTGTGCCTCATGGGAGAAGTTAGGAGAAAACATGTGAGGCTGTGTTCACATAAAGTGACATGGTAATATTGACCTCTTTGCCATACCTATGGAAACGGGAGAGGTGTTTTTCAAAATGGTTCCATGAAAAACTCAGGAGGTTAAGGAATTTCTGTAAATGGATTCTGCAGTCAAGTTTGGGAAAAACTGTAATTGGCCAAAATAATGTTTTACAGTCCCTCTGCTGCCAGGCAGCTGAACTTAGAACCCTAAAGTGGAGTGTGCCCAGACCTGGGGGACATGGAACAGTCATGAGCACTCCCACTGGCAAGTGGCTTACTGAAGAAGGGACAATGTCTCCTTAGAATCTTCAGGGTCTTACTAAAAATGCATAAGCCTAGGCCTTTTCAGACCCCTCAATCAGAATCTGGGGCAGAACTCAGGAGGTAAGGGAGCCCATGATTTTAACAAGCTCCTTCAGAGGATTTTGACACTCACTTCATTTGTTACAGCCCAAAGAGAGACAGCAAGGCCTCTGCACAGTCGGGACACAGATTATAAAGCTACATGTCCTGGTTCTGCCTCCTAGCTCTGGTAGGAACCAGCTGTGACCTGAACTACTGGCACAGCAGGGCCCCTCTAGACCTCAGTCTCCTCATCTGTAAAATGGGGCCTGGACTCTAAGAACCCTCCTCCTGGTTTGGACCAACTTTCAATGGGCTCCTGTGAACTTGATGCAGGCAGGCGCTTAGCTTGAGATCCACTCCTACCTTGGAACCCGCAAAGGAGTATAAAGGAACTGCATCTGTGGGGTGGGTGAGGGCTGTCATCCATGTTTGTTTCAATCCTTGTGTTCAGGTGTGGACACTGCAGCTTTGGGTCTCCTAGAGATCTGAAAACAGAGCTGGCTGTTCTACTCAGTACACATGCCTTTTGGATTTGAAAGAAGTCTGACCTGTTAACCCTGTCCGTGCCTACACATGTGCCACGCTCTCTGGATCTAGAGGACAAAGAATGTAAAACCATGTGATGGGACCCTACGGCTACAAAGCTGCATGAATTCTGATGGTCTGCATGGACCTGCACTGTGTCATCTTCTATCCTCTGGGTCACCCCTCCCACCTCTCTGAAATCACTAACTCCTTTAAACTGACAAGAAAGGCACAGAAAGGACCACTTACCTGTCCAATTCACCCCAAGATCAGGCAGGAGATCCACAGATTCTTTTGGAAAACCTGTGCTGGTTCTCAAGCTTAAGTGTGGTCTACAAGCACTCTGGTTGTTCCTGGGGCAGCTGTTTGTGGGGCCACACTATGGGAAGCCATCTGAACCCTGATACTCTCCTGCCACCTAGTAGAGCTGGTCAGGTAATTTGTGTAGTGGCTTCCAAATGGAAACCTTAGCAGTCACTTTAAAATCATGTCAAAGGATTTTAAAATAAAACTAGCTTTTTATCCCCCTAATATGAAGTGGTACTTGCTAAGGGTAAAAAGCTGAGCTAGTACTAAATAGGCAATAAAACTCATTTTGAGATCTACTATCCAGATATCTCCTGTCAGAATTTTAAAAAGTGTACTTGTTGACACAGCAAATTGTTCAGAGAAGATTAACATGCAAAAATGAACAGATAGAAAGACTCCCAAGAAATTTCATTTACACCATGGCTGAACTCACCTGACTTCAGCCAGGTGAAGAGTATCGCCCGTGACCCTGTTTTCATGTCCAGTTGGTAAAGCAGCTGGCATGAATGGAATGTCTGCAGTGGCTAATTAATCACTCAGGGAGTTTCCATAACTGGGTTCCTTCTAGCATCCTTGGGCCTGGGCCAGCTACCTCAGGAGCCCCAAACAGCCCCATAACCTTTGTCAGTGGATTGGAACATCCACATACAGTTATTTGACCAACATTTCCTTTTGTTGTGGGATGAGAAAAGTCCTAGATCCTCATGGAACTGTCTAGTAGGGAGACAGAGAAGAAATCAAAGAACTACTACTGGGTGTATGTCATCAGAGACGGAGGGCACAGCAGAAACCCGGAGGAGCAGGAGGTGGGGGGATAAGGCCTCGTGGGAGACGCCTCAGTAAGGACAGGTGTACAGGAGGCTGTCAATTCTGAAGAAGTAGCAGCAGAAGGCAGCCAGGACGACAAGGGGCCATACAGCCGGTTCAGAACCGGAAGTACAGAGCATTGGTTCTATACTTGCCTCAGAAGTTGGAAGCCCAGGAGGGACAGAAATTCCCAGGCCACTTGGCCTTCCCAGCTGTTGCTTATTTGCTCGAGAAAAGGGATTCAAATCAGCGCACCCTGACTTGTGTGCTCCAAGCTGCAGTTTTCAGTTAAAGGGTTTTGTGGTCAGATATACATGGGGCAGGGCCCCAATCTTGTTCTCCCACTTGGGCTGAATCTGGGCTCTAGCCCTTTAATTTACCCGTGCCTTATTCAGGGCCACGCCCTGGGTGGAGAGGGCCCTTGGGGAGCAGAGAACAATCGGTGGGACTTGTTTTCTTCCTTATTTTCTCCTTTGGGGTTACTTAAGTCGTTGAGAAACGCTCCCTCATTTATTAATCAAAGACTTCAGAAGGGGATTTTATGTTCCTGTGCTGCTGCTTGATTAGCTTGGAGAACTTTTTTTAAGGGTTTCCCATCTATTTCCCCTTTTGGAGGACAGACAGAAGATGGGGGTGGGCAGATGCCTACCGATCGCCCAGGTTTCCTGTCTACCAGTCTCCGGCATTCTTCATGAGATGAAGAAAATGATACGATTTCTCCAAGCACCAAGCTCTTTTAAAATGTCATTCTCTCCACCCAGGTGAGCTCCAGCAAGCAAGAGTGTCTGTCATACACGTGCTACTTTCTGACTCCAGGGAGGTAGGAAATAGCTGGGACTGTTGTAAAGAATCACAACTACTTTCCAAGGGCGGGGCCCGGGTTGGGGGTGAGTGCTGCCGGGCCAGCGAGGACCCCCGGGACTCTCGGTAGAAACCTTTCCCGAACCCCGAGGTCAATGCCTCGCGCCCGGGACGGGACCCTCTGCTGTCCTCGCCCACGGTACCCACACCTCTGGCCACACCACAGCTGGCGCTCGTCTCGCCCGACTAACTCTCAGCTGGAGGAACAAATAGAAACCCCGAAGCCACCGCCAGCACCACCTGCCGCGTCGCCCAACCTCGATCCGAGTGTGACACTGTCCTCCGCGGCCCGGGGCGACGACGATCCGGAGTGTCCCGGGCAGCCGCTCCAGGGGACCCCGCCCCAGCTGCCCACCCGCGTCCATCCTCGGCGGGGTACCCGGTACTCACCGCCATGGTGAGCGCGCGGCTCGGGCGCCGGGGCAGAGTCTGTCCGCTTGGGTCTCCGCGCTCCTACTCTTCCAGCAGCGCGCACCCGGATCGCGACCCCGGCCGCGCGGGTCACGTGGTCCCGCGAGGCGGCGCAAAGGTGCCTGGGAGTTGTGGTTCCCACGAGCTCCCCGCCCGGCTGTCGGGGCCGCGCCCCCCTGCTCTGGGGCCACCTGCTCCCTGGGGTCCACAAGTCGGGTGGCCAGAGCCCCTGTAGACGCGAGGGACAGGGGCTTCCGCCCGCGCTCTGGCCTCTGTTAGGCATTTGACTTTGTCTTGGCAATTATCATAAAAATGTTTATTGCTCACTGTCATAAGCTATGCCGTTGATAATTGGAAAGTCTGTCCTGTGGATACAATAACAGCAAACAAGGCGTAAATCAAATCAGTTACGCTCCAGACTTTTGGGGTAGCTAATTTTCTCCTTCATGTTTTCCAGTCCGTTTAAGGAAAAGCAATGAACAATGCTTTTCTCTTTTTCTCTTCTTCTCCTGTGTGCATATTTCTTTCTTTCTTTCTTTCTTTCTTTCTTTCTTTCTTTCTTTCTTTCTTTCTTTCTTTCTTTTTCTTTCTCGTATTTGGTACAAGGTCTCACTATGCAGCTACAATTTGTAGTGATCCTCCTGTCTTCAGTTTCCCTAGCGCTGGGATTACAGGCATGCACTACCATGCCCCATGCCCCGGGATTACAGGCATGCGCAGCCATGCTCAGCGCGTCTGGGGGCAGGGCCTGCGTGACCTGTTGTGCTGGGAATCGAAAGCTGGCTTTAGTCTGCTGAGCTGTCTCGCAGACCTTCATGATTACAATTTCTTTATTGTACAAATCTTTGGTTTTACTCAGTGGTAATACGTTGTCTTGTTTGTCTGGGCCTATATAGCAAAATGCCATAGATGGGAGATTTACAAGAGACACTTATTTGTCACAGCCCAAAGGCTGGCAGTTTTATTTATTATTATTATTATTATTATTTTTTTTTTTTTTTCGGTACCAGAGATTGAACTCAGGACCTTGCGCCCACCAGGCAGGCACTTATGCTGTTGAGGTATATCCCCATCCCAAGGTTGGCAGTTTTAGATCAGAATGTCAAATTCTGTCTCTCCTCAGGGCCCTCTTAGAGGTTGCAAACTGCTGTTTTCTCATTATACCCTCATATGGTACTAATTGGTGTTTCTTTGATTACACAATGATAAACATTTCCACTTGTGGGTATTTCTGTTTTTGTGTACTCCGTGTCTATTTCATTGATCCAGTTTTTGTTGGGGAGTTTTTCTGGGTTATGAGGGATTTTTAACACTACTTACTTTTTAAATATGTTTTTAGTACTTCTTTGTCAACCATCTTAGGAGTAAGGAGTTTCCTCCAGGAAACCTTACCATAGACAGTTTTTGCTGAGACCTTGAGGCTAGAGTCTGCCTCAGTTTAAATCCTGAGCCCTTCAGGATTAACTATGAGGTGTCAGTCAGATAGCTTTATGTTTCTCAGCCTCAGTTTCCTGGTAAGATAAAACTGATAAAGTCTATGTTTTTGGGCTGCTGTGAGACTTAAGTGAAAATATGAGTGTTAAAGTCTTTGCATAAAACCTGGCAGCAGGAACCTTACTCAACAAATGGCAGCCATTGTCATTATTACTGGCAAGTATTTCTGTTCTGAAGGAAAAAAAAAATCTTAAAAAGGTCAAGCTGCTTGCTTGAGGGAAAGGACACTTGACCATCAAAAGCCCTGGCTAGGAGGGCCTCTGATGTGTTGAGAGGCCTGGAAACAACTCGTGGGGTTGGGGCACCAAGAACAGATTTGGGTGTACCTTTCCACCTTCATGGGCAAGAGTAAGATTTGATTTTTACCTAAGTGAGCTCCCATGTACCACACTCTCTCCCACCCCATCTTTCACCCCTTTCCTCCTTCAAGATCTGCATGTGGCATAGCCATTTTTATTTAGCTGTTTTTGTTGGCTTTGTTGAAATCTGTTGACCTTCTCGGTTAGTTTTGACTTCCTCATGGGTGTTATGGTTACAGCACTTAGCCCTACAGTCCTAAAGCATCCCCCTTCCTTTTGCACCACCTGACACCTCCCCTCCCTGGGCCCCCAAGCAGTAGAAATTGAGTTTAGAACACAGAATCCTGGTTCGTAACAGAATTCTGAAACAGTTCTTGCCCAAGATAGCCCCCAGGTCTAGTTTGTGGCAAGATATTCTTTCTGGATTCTATTTTGACAACCTGTGGACTCCCTCTCCAGAACAAGGAAGTCTGTTGCTGTCTTTCCCAGCACACATGGGGACAGAGTCAGGAAGGACAATGCTGCCTTAGATGTTGTAAGAGATCAACAAGGGGCTCTTTAACCAGGGCGCTGAGCTCCTATGTATTGCAGTCAGTTAGTAGAAGGGAAATCGGAGCAATCTTTTCTCCTTCTGAGGTTTAATAGAGGAACTTGAGGTCTTACAGATAGATCACATGCTATTCTTGCAGAATATCTGGCCCTTATGTGCAGATGAGGCTGTGTGAGCCCAAGAATGTCACTGCTGCTCTCTAGGCCCTGGCTTTCCCACCTGCAGCAAGGGAGAAATGCCACTCCTGGAGTGCCCTGCCACTCCTCTTTCACACTGGCTGATGGTTTGCAATGATGAGTGGGCATGAGTGTGGAATGGAACACTTTTTGGCCAGGACTTTTGCATGTGTTCCATGTAACTCCAGTGAGTTAACCTCTTGTGTTCTCCTGCAGGATGCCTTTGTTATTTTATAGTTATTCCATGAGGAGCATTTTATGTATATATGGATGGCCCAAGGAGTATGTGCACATCTGAGATTGGCCAGAGCGTAGACAGTTGTGTAGGTGTGTGTTTGTGTGTGTAAGGCTGTATAAAACAGGAGCCACACCACCAAACCCACAAATGCTTCAATTTATTCTTAGACAATGAAGAAGCACCAAAGGGGTTTTAATGTATATTTTCTACCTATGTCTTGTCATTTTTCTTTCCCAAATGATGATCTCTTAGTGATGCCAGCCTGACCATCCCATTTAAAACTTCAGCCTACCTTGTACCCCATGTCTTGATTACTCCACTTCATTTTTCCCATAGTATTAATGACCTTGTACCATCCCATTTAATGCATGTATTCAGTATTCTTTTTTTCCCACTCAGATGGGAGGTCTATCAGAGCAGGGATCTCTGTGCTTTTGGGAAGGCATCCTCAGACTCTAAGTTAGTGTATATCACACTGTGGACTGCAATGGATGCTGGTTGAATGAATAAATGAATGAATGCATGCATGAATGAATGCATGATGAATGAATGCATGCATGCATGAATGAATGAATGAATGAATGAATGAATGAATGAAATCTCTCTGTGCTTTACTGCTTGGTGTCCTAAGGGAGATAATAATAAGAAGCCTCTGAGACCCAATGGCTTTGTTTCCCGTGCAAGCTGTGCCTGACTGGGGGTGGTAGGCAGAGCAAGTGAAAAAATAACTGTAAAGACACAGAAGAGCAGCATCTCCCCACCTGCACCCCAAATAGAAGTTCCTAAGAGGAGCGAGAACTAAGGAGCCTACATCAATGTGCCTGTGCTGACTTCCAGCAGGGTCTCTAGGGCAACGCAGGAGGAACGGCAGAAGGGCAAGTAAAAACAAGATGGAGAAATCTGTGCCCTCGCACACCCCTGGGACAAAGATACAAACTTAAGTGTGTTCTGCTTCATGAACTCAGACCAAGGGCGGAGATGAGCAATCATGAGAACTGACAGACAGTCCATTCAGAGGAGGGTACATATAAAGTGCAGTACCTACAGGGAGATGTGTGTGGAGTGTGAGGAAAATTTAAATAGAAGGGAGGCAGGTGGTAAGTGACAGAGTCCTGGGAAGCATCCTGCCCCTGAGCCCTCTTACTTTGTACTTTCTGTGCTCTGTTGCTGCTTGCCTAGCTTGGTTGGCTTGGCCGAATTCCTCTGGTGCAAGCATCCAGTTGAATCCATATTGACAGTTCCTCCTGGCAGCTGCCTTTGCTCTATTTTCAAAGGCTCTCATTAGTTCCTTGGACCTTTGCAGTGATTTCATGGCCAGAAGAGCAGAGATGACACCCCTGAAGAGGGAATGGGACTCACTCAGACTCCACCACGAGGCAGTGGCTGATCTGGTGGATCAATCTAAGTTGATCCCAACTTAGCCCTGGACAAGCACCATGGCCAATTCCAAAAGTTGTGTGCAGCCTCTGCCACTCACACTAATGCATGACAGACTAGCCTGACACTACGATGCAAGAGAGGTCAACAGTGCAAAAAAGGGACAGCCTCAGATCCTGGAGAGGTCTAGATGTTTTACCAATGGTAGCTGAGACACTTCTGTGTATAATCCCAAACAGCATTTTGAGATCCAGGATTCACTGGTGTGGTGGTTTAAATCTCAAGTGTTCAGACATTCCTCCAATGGAAATCTCTGGTTTTCTCTGGTTAACTTTAGTGATTCACAACCAATAGACTAAATTAGCACCATGCCACAGGGCTTGTGAGGCTAGGTCATAAAAGGCAATATGGTTTTACAAGATGAAAGAGTTTTGGAAATTGGTTGTACAACAGTGTGAAAGGACTTACTATGATTAACTGTGCATTTAGTTTGTGTGTGTGTGTGTGTGTGTGTGTGTGTGTGTGTGTTCAGGGTCTCATTGTACAGCTTGGATTTGTAGTGATCCTCCTGTTTTTAGCCTTCCTAGTGCTGGAATTGCATGTGTGCACCACTATGCCTGGACTCCTCTGCCTCAGTGTACCTGAGGGGCAGGGCCAGTGTGGCATGTGGTGTCAGGGATTGAACCCTGGCTCCTGGGCTTGCCTAAGCAAGCACTTAGTCTGCTGAGCTATCTTGCTGGCCCTTAACTGTGCATTTAAAATGATAATTTTATGTTCTACTGTATGTATTGTAACTACAATTTTAAAATCAAGCACTATACATGGAATCTTATTCCACCACAAAAAGTAACACAGTACTAATATGTGGAGCAACATGAGTGGAACTTTAAATGAAAGAAGCCAGTAAGTAACAAATGCCACATGGTATATAACTGCGTATGTGTGAAATGTTTAGGATAACCTATTGGGGCAAGCTACAGAGCGTTGGTTGCCAAGGGCTGGAAGAATGGATAAATGAAGACTGGTGATAGGTATAGGCTTTCTTATTCAGTGATGAAAATGTTCTGAAATTAAACTAGTGCTGGTGGCACATTTCCATGAACATATTAAAAGTATCTACTTTGAAAAAGGTGATTCTTATAGAATATGTAATATCTCAGTAAAGTTGTTTGTTTTTCTAAAAAGGCAATGCAGTTTTCACCTTGTACACCAGGACTCTGGCGTTTAGAGCTCTCTACTACCAAGAATTAAAACCCTAAATTCTCTGAGGTGACCATGTTGTAAGGAAAGCTAGGCCATACAGAAGGCTATAAATACTTTTGGGTTTTTTGTGCTGGAGACTGAGCCAAGGCCTCATGCCTGCTGCTCAGACTCTGCCACTAAGCTACACACCAGTACCTGAAGCTACAAATTGGTGCTCCAAGTGAGAGCCATAGCATCCTCTGCTATCTAGGAGAAATGAAGTCACCTTCAGCATCCAGGCCAGCTGAGCCCAGCCTCAGCTAACTGACATCTCAGTGAAATCACATGAAAGACTCCAATTGAGAACTGGCCAGCCAAATCCTTCCCAAATTCCTATCCTATAATGCCCACAGCAAAATAAAATGGTGGCTCTAAACTGCTAAGTTCAGAGGTAGTCTGTTAGGCAACAGTGGATACTAAAACAGTATAATCCATTTGAGCTTTTCTCCATTCCTTGAGTTCATCCTGTGGAAGGAAGATGAGGACAAGAGTGGAAAATAGCTAACGCTTTCCTTTTCTGAAGAGTTTTTAAAATTGATCATTCACTTACTTGTTAATGCATTCCGCCTCTCACAAAGGCTTTGAGGAGCCCACAGAGAGTCAAGAGAGAATACCAGAGAATGGAATCAGGAAGGAAAAGACACACCACGGTCAGAGAAGAAAAGCAATACCTCATTCAGAAGTACCCACGAGGATGATCACCTTACCCCTGGGTGAGTGCTGAGGAACTGGCAGTGATGACAGGGTGGTGGAATGGGGGTTGCAGGCTCTTCTGAGGCCCATCCCAAGGAGGCCTCTCTGATCATCATCAGTGAATGCACATGGAGGAGTCTCTGCAGTTGAATTAGCTGCTTTCCCAGCTCTGGGACAAAATACTTGACACCACTTAAAGGAGAGGTTTTGTTTGGTTCACAGTTTCAGTGAATCCAATCTGTGGTTGGCTGACTTTCAAGCAGGAACAACATGGTGGAATGGCATGGTGGGGGAGAGCTGTTTGTGTCATGGTGGGCTGGAAGCAGAGAGAGGCCAGGAGGGCTGAATCCATCAATGCTATTGGATTGGGGCTGCCGAAGCCTTGTGGAGCTCACACTTCACCACAGCCTGCTCCAAAGGCAAGAAAGCTCAAGGATTTAATATTCACTCTCTGGCTTTTGTTTGTGCTTTGGTTCATTGCTTTACCATGTGCCATTGTATATCACAAGCATTCAATTTTCTTTTTCAATTTTACAGGCCACCCAGCTAAGAGGAGACTTTGGACTTGGATTCTTCAGCAGTGATGGAAATGTTAAGATTCTGATGGCTCTTAGAGATGGACGAAGTCTATTTTGCCTAATGAGATGGACGAAGTCTATTTTGCCTAATGAGATGGACAAAGTCTATTTTGCCTAATGAGATGGACTTGATCCTTTTGGGGGCACAGATGAAATGTTATGGTTTAGATCTAAAGTGTCTGCCAACAGTCTCATATTTGGAGGTGGAAGCTAGTCAGAAGGTGGGGATAATCGTGGGCATGACTTGGGAGGGTGTAGCCTCTTCCCTAGCTCCTCCCAGAGCTGGCTGACTTTGGACTGAACCCAATGAAACTGTGACCCAAATAAGCCTTTCCTCCCTTAAGTTGTTGTTATTGGATATTTTGACCTAGGAGTGGAAATATGACTAATACAGTGGTCAATCCATCATGTATCTTCAAACCCAGAGGCTTTAACCTTTTCAAAGTTTCAGAATATTGATTCTGGGCTCTGATTTTTCTCAGTATGGCTGGCAGAACCTGAGTTCTCTCTTCCTGCTCTGGCTCTGTCTCCATTAGGACCCTGAGACTTTTCTTTGTTCTTGCATATGGCCCTGCTCATATCAGGTGGCTGAGCCTCCAGAGGGCAGCTCCTTGGGGTTTCTGTTGCATGTTTCCTGGTTCTCAGAATGAGTGCTTTGTTTTGGCTTCATTGGCAAGGTTAGGCTTTGTGTGAATCCAGTCATTATTGAGGCCAGGGAGGAGGAAGGTAACACCGCTGAGAATTCAGTCTCCTTCTTCACCTGCCACAGGTGTCCACTCCAGCTGCCAGGGACACCAGGCCTCAACCACCTGCCTCCTTCAGGAAGACCAAGGACCTCAATGTGTTCTCAATGAAGCAGCATTGAGCTCTGAAGGTCAGTCACTCAGACTAGCCCACATCAGTCAGGCAAACTGTTCTGTAAACCAGGGTTGTCCACATTCCGGTCAGACTACGATAGTGGATTTCCAGATGCTTTTAAAAAACATTGCAGCAACATACACAAACCAAAATTTATCATCATAACCATTTTATGTGTAGAATTCAGTAATGTTAAACACCATATTGTGTAGCCAATCTCCAGAATGCTGAACCCTATAACTGTCTAAACAATTCCCTAGTAACCTTCCACTCCCAACTCTTTACAACCACCATGATATTTTCTGTCTATGATTTCAACAACTCTAGATACCTCAGATAAGTGGAACCACAGAGAATTTACCCTTTTATGACTGGCCTATTTCACTTTGCATAGTGTCCTCAAGGATCATACATGCTGCAGTGTGTGTCAAAATTTCCTTTCCTTTTAAAGCTAATTCCATTGTATGTATGCTGCAATGAACATATGTGTACAAACACAAATGCTTTTTTTTGGCCGAACTGGGGATTGAACTCAGGCCCTTGCATTTGCCAGGGAAGCGCTTATTCTACTGAGCTATCTCTCCAGCCCCTACAAATGCTTTTTAGAAGGAAGTCCTTGTCAGGAATCCTGAAGCTGGGTGCACTCAAGTAATCACAGCACTCAGAGACTGAGGCAGGAGGATTGCTGTGAGTTCTCGGCCAGCCTAAACTACATAGTGAGACCCTGTCTCAAAAAGCAAAACAAAAAACAAAACCAAAAAAGAATCCTAACCCTGAAGTACCAGTTCTTGTGGAAAAATGGTATGAACTGGATTCCCTTCCCTGTCTGTATGTATACTCTTGCTGCTTGCGATGTCCCTGAGAAGCCCTACTGGTTCTGACTGGACATAATTTCCGAATCTTAGGGAAAGATGAGGCAGAAGAGTTTTAGCTTATTCATGGAAGTTTTTCTTCTCAGCAGGATTTTCTTCTGTTGGCAAAAAAAAAACCTGATGTTCACCCCTAGAACCCTAAAACAGTTCAAATAGCAGCATCTTGCCAACACTCATTGGTTGATCTACTTAGGTATTCTGGCTTGTTTTGTACCTTGAATTATATGACGATACTGGTGAGAAAGAGCTCGGCTGGGTAAACATTCTTATTTGCATGTACTTTATCACTGGGACTGTGATCAAGTGTTCATTTCCGCCAGATGAAGTGGCTGACAGTTGACCATTTTTACCCCACTAGGGCAGCAGTTTTGTGCGGCTTACTCAGCAGTGGGAGCTGGTGTAGGCAGAGCCCTTTTCTGGTTTGAGGAAAGAGGAAGTTACTGAGAGACAAACCATCTCGTTCTGACACCGTCGCCTTGGTGGAGACCAATGAGAAGTTGGTTCTCATTTGAGAGAAGAGGCCTTTTTTCAGGGGGTGTTCTTGGCAGGGACTTGCATGAGCCTCAGCTCTGGCTGCAGTCACAGCTCTGGTGGCTGTGGCTGGCACTATATACACCCAGCAGGGGATCACCGTGGAGATGTAGTGCTACCCATTCTGTTCTCTTTGCACAGGCAAGGCGGGATCCAGTAGCTAATCCGTGGCCCAAAGAAACCATTGTTTTGTTTTGTTTTTCTTTTTCCAGTGCTAGGAATTGAACCCAGCAAATGCTCGCTCACTGAGCCACATCCACAGGCCCAGCAGAAACTCATTTGTATCATCTCTGTTTTGAGCATCCTCCATCCTAAAAGGTGGCTCTACTCCAATCACTTTGGGGAGGTTAAGTAGCCCACTGCAGTAATGGGGTGGGGTGGGGGGTTACTGCAGTAAATGATTGTGCTTTGGTTCATTGCTTTACTGTGTGCCATTGTATGTTGCAAGCATTTAACTTTCTTTTTGCGTTTTCTAGGTCACCCAGCTAAGAGGGGACTTTGGACTTGGATTCTTCAGCAGTGATGGAAATGTTAAGATTCTGATGGCTCTTAGAGATGGACGAAGTCTATTTTGTCTAATGAGATGGACTTGATCCTTTTGGGGGCACAGATGAAATGTTATGGTTTAGATCTAAAGTGTCTGCCAAAAGTCTCACATTTGGAAGTGGAGGCTAGTCAGAAGGTGGGGATAATCGTGGGCATGACTTGGGAGGGTGTAGCCTCTTCCCTAGCTCCTCCCAGAGCTGGCTGACCTTATACTGAACCCACAACTGGGGAAGGGTCTTGAATTCGAGAGCCCTTTTGTTAGGGTGAAGAAAGCTGGTCTTTCTTATGAGGCATATTAGGGTACCTGAGAAGCAAGGACTAATTGTGACAGTGTGAAAGGAGCTATTCCCTGCTTTTGCTTCTTAGCCAGTGAATCCCATTTCAAGACTATTTACCTTGCACTGCACTGCCTTGGGAAGACTTCATTTTCAAACAATTTTTGGTGCTTTTTCCTCATTCTTACCTTAATGCTTCTTTACTTCCTATATACCATTATGGACTCTTCTAGGGTGAGGCTATGTCTCGTTTATTTCTGTATTTCTGATCCATTACCTCTAGATATTACCAGGCACATAGTAGGTGTTCAGTTAATATTGGGTTGACTGAATAACAAAATGCCAAGGGTCATTTCAGAGAATCTCCCTCTAATGACTGTGTATCTCCACAGGCCTGTGGAACCCCATGTAGTGGAACAAATGGTGTGAATGAAGCTATGGGGAGAATGCACTTCCTAAAGTGACTCTTACACTTTGCTCAATTTTTGACTTTAAAAATGAATATAATTTAATGAAGTACAGTGGCACCTCGGTTCACAAAATTAATTTTCCATGATTTTAATTTTAACCGAATTAAGTTCATGAATTGAGATACCACTGTATAATTATAATTACTCAGTGAATTACAATGTATGCTTTGAGAAGTGTCTATTCCTCTAACAGTGTCACCTCAAGCAATATAGAAGCTTTCCCATCACCCTGTAGTTACGCTGTGCTCCTTTCTAGTTACTCCTTCCCACTATCCCTTCTGCCATCTACAACACTGTTCTGATTTTTGTCACTATAGTTTAGTTTTCGGGGTTCTAGAATTATCTAAATAAAAACATGCAGTATGTGCTCTTCTGCTTCTGACTTCTTTTTCTTGTATCAGTAAGAGGTATCCATATGGTTATGTGTAGTTCTCTCCTCCTCCTCCTCCTCCTCCTCCTCCTC